GTTGTGTTCACTGTAAAGACGTCTGTTAAACCATAGACGCCAAATAATTTACACAAAACCTTTCAATTAAACGTTTGTTTACCTAATTGGGCGTTTTTTAGAAATAATCTTAAATTCACTCGTGCAGTCTACACGGCCCACTTAATGACAGATTTTTCTCGAATAAAAATACATAAAGAGTTTTGTTTGTGTTAAGTATAATTTTAAATAATTTCAAACTTAATTTCCGATTATGTTGATTGTTTGAAGACATCAAATTGAATTTATTTCAAATCTTAGAAAAATAAACAAAAGATTCTAAGCATAAATTGTCACTACACCGATATGTAAATGATTTCCAAGATATAATCACTCAAAACCATGTGGCATTTGTTATACATTGCTGAGCCATTAGACAAATATCTTGACTGATTTTTAGTTTACATGTATAACATGAAACGTTATGACATCATTACAGGCGATAATAGTTTATCTCCACAGACGACTTTAATCTCCTTCGTGCATTGTCAATAATAAAACGCAATTTTCCATAAAATTCAAACTGTTTGAATTGTAGTATTTAGGCTCATTTGTGTTTGAGTAAACAAAAAAAACTTCTGAATTTCAACAATAAATTTGCTTCCATTTTTACCATTTCATTAGCTCTAATCATACTCACCATGCACGATCTTAGTTGGAGGAAACTTCGCTCCAAGTACCACACACATTAATACAGAGAGGAGTATTGTCATCCTCTCCGTTTTCCGAATCTTAATACCGTGCAGAAATAATCAACCTCGCTCCTGTGATATGGTTATAAGAGACAATTATTGCATCCACCCAACATCGTGAGTAACAACTCATTTCACTAAATTTGGTGCCACATTCACCCACCGGAGTTCAACATCTTTTTATCGTAGCTCACATTGTCTATTCTGTCTAAAAGGTGTTCGCCCAACGTGGGGCTCGAAACTACGACCCTGGGATTAAGAGTTCCATGCTCTACCGACTAAGCTAGCCGGGCTGCTGATGAGAGTGTTTTTGCACCTCAATCAGCGACTTTGAGTAAATGTCGGGCGATGATACGAAAATGAGTGTGCATGACTTTGTGTTTGAGCTAAACGTAAATCTTTAAATAACAGCGTTGACAGTAGAGGGAATTTATGCCACTTGAAGCACGGCTACTAACGTACTTGTAGAGTTATACTGCGTGCTCTCGCGATTTATGTGACAACTTGGTCATGTGGTCGCCGGATAGGAATTGAGTGGTGTAAACATGTCACTTTTTATGTCTATGTGAGTTCTTGGTAGAACACTCTGATTACTCCGTGTACGTAATGCTTATTAAAGCACTACGTTGTGGAATTCTTAACGCGAGATTTGCTGTCGAGATTTGCTGTCGAGATTTGCCGGGAGAGAAGAGCTATCACATATTGACGTATTGAATCATGCTGTGTCGAAATGCATGCTGATATACTGCCCTCATGAGTGGTAACCTATGGATAGTCGCCGCTTCTCTCGACTTATTTTGCGCAAATCCATGTCAAGAACTGACGAGGGACGCCGAGACCCAACGAAGGACGCCGGAAACCAACAAAGGACGCAGCTAACTAATGCAAATGTGTAAAATTTGAAAGCGCTACAAATTCTTGATATTATGCTGTGCGAAAGATAACATCAATTGAACAACGGAAATCAAACAAAAAGTGGGTTACCATGGACACAATGACTATGTGATTTCATCATGGCGTTATTGAAACCATACTTGGGTAGCCATTTTGAATTGGAAAATAGTCAAAATACATACAATCGATCGATGGAGGGTTCATATTTTAAAAACTAGTTACTTTAACCAGTCACATATAAATATTAAACGCAATTTCAAACATGATGTAGAAATTGGGAGGTGAATTCTAATGAAGATGGAGATTATTGATCGCACGTCACGGCTGTAATTCATCGCTGGAGGGTGCCCACTTAAAAGATGCAATATCTGAAAAAATGCCACACACACTTTCAAATCTGTCTTGTCTTATCACAATATATTTGAAATATTACATGAAAATAAAATAATCAGATAATTACTAACTAAAGTATTACGGGAAGACTATTAAATGATATTAATAACAATAATAACAAATAATTGAGTCCCAAGCGACGATAACAACACACACTAAAAACGCAAAAGCTCATGGGTAGACGCTTGTTTGTAAACAATGACACACTTTGGCCATCTGACGCATGCGCAGGTGACGACTCCCCGCTTTAATGAGTTCATTTTGAGTTATCGTGTGGGGATTTATGGCACGGTTACTACCTGTTCTCGTTATTTATGAGACATATAGTTTTTGATGCAGTTAACGTGAGATTTTCCAGGTTCAGTTGGCGCGAGAAAAGCGGATTGGACAGGTTTGAATTAGAAAATGCAAAAAGCAATAATCACATGAGACGGCATGTCAGTCATCTCGCATTTGGTAAAACACATAAGTCGTATTCCTGTCCTTATTTACTTCGCCGTGATATGTTGAACCAAAGACACTAGAAAAGATCTTTTTCTAGTGTCTTTGGTTGAACTATGCTGTCCCCGCAATGCTTACTAATATACTGCCCTCATAAGGGCATACCTATAGATGGACGCGTCTTTGCTGTTATGTTTAGCGCCAAATAATGCTGGGAACTCATGAAGATGGAACCGGTGAAAGACAAACGATACAAAGCACAGTTAAATAGTTCAAAACCAGTTCTTTGGGAATTATTTAGCACAATTTCAAATATGTGACGTAGAATAACTATCGCATAACTATCCTCTGAAGGCTAAATATCCACCCGCCACCATTTTACTCAGCGTTTCTTCCGCGGAACTATATACAAGTATTACTTGTTTTGAACACATTCTCTCCCGATTTTTAGCAAGATTTAATCTTTAATGAGTTGATCAATTAAAATACTCATTAGAATGTCTTATTTTATTAACATTAAAATGCATGTAATTTGGCATTGACACGCAGA